AATGAAATATTAAATATTTTAATATGGGTAACTTTGAAACCACAGAAAAATATCATAAGTAAGCTAAACTGAAAATCTCTAGAATCTATATAATTTTATACAAAGTTCATAATAATTATTAAAACCATAGTGTTGGCCGGTAATAAGATATAGAAACTAGCGTTTTGTGATAGTCGCTAAGTATAGCTTACTGTTGTAATACTATAGGATACTATTGCCCTTTTATATTTACAAATTAAAGCGTACTATTATAGTTGGCTATTTTGGCAATACATATATATAGAATATATGGCAGAATCTAACAAATACATCAAATTTACTTTGGTTTCTTAAAATATATATTTTAAATGAGTAGAAGAAATAATTTAGAATTTGTATTCGTTTAACATGATTCAGTTCATAATTTTAAAGAAGTATCTATCGAGTCAACTTGATTTGAATTTCATTAGAGGATTTATAATAAAAACAATCATTGACACAAACATGATTTAAACTGTAGAACTCCTACATATAGCGTTCCAGTTACTTTGAGTTCATTCGTTTCTTAAGATAAAAAGAGTATTAGTAGGTGTATCTTCGATAGAAGAAATTTCAGGACTCATATATGGATATGAAAATTAGTTCAACAATTGTGTATACTAGTATTTATATATCAATAGTTGTATTAAATTTATTTCAAATAAAGAAAAATATTTTCATGTACCAGTGCAATCAGCGGTATATAAGTATACATATACATAAATTATAATATACAAAATATTACTAGGATTAAACGTATATAAAAAGTTATATGACAAATGTCCTTACATAATATTTAGCGGAGCTTTTGGCACTTTAACCTCTATTGAGTATCAAGAACATTCTTAACAGCTTCGATAGTATATCTGATCTTAAACGTCTAATAATATCTTGTATATAATAAACTAGCTTTCCGCCCGCAGCTTTGCCCGCGTGGAGTTTGGTTATATCGCGTTTCCAAGAGAACCTTTCAAAAATCTTCGATAAAAACTATCCTATGTTCTTTCTCAAGGTCAACTCTATGTCTGTACCAAATTTCATTAAAATTAGTACAGTAGTAGGCGTGAAAGCGTAACAGACAGACAGACAGAGTTACTTTCGCATTTATAATATTAAGTAGGGAATATTTAATTAAAGTATCACAAATAAGTCAAATATCATATTATGTAATTTTAAGTATCAAAAATACTTGATTTTATACAAAAACTATCCTTGAACATTTTTTTGTAAAAGGTTAAATATTCAATCATATAAAATGATCAGTCGTTTTTGAAGTAAATCTTTAAAATATAAAGTAATAGTGAAATGAGGTTGTTTAAACACAAGCACATTTTTCTCTTGAAATACATTTTGTTTAAATAGATCCCAACAAGTCATAATAATGATTTCCATCAACTACTTAAACATTACGTATACAATACCCGAAGCTAGATATTTAAAAATAATAAACTGTAACCGATGCTTTAAAATTCCTTAGCTTGTTGTATTAAAAATCGAAACTCTCAATACAAGTGGTGTTTACCGGCTAATTAGACTGAAAGATTCAACGCTAGTTCCCATGGCGGTATGCAAAAATTGTTGAGAAAATACCATACGTGCGTGTTCGCTAATTCGAGACCCGTTTTGTGTAATTTCACTTAGATATAAGACTGGGAACCGCGGAGTTACGCGGTTTTTAATTGAGTCAGTCATTGCTGTTATTTATTGTGATGGGCCTCAATGGACTGGGATTTTGAAAGAACTTAAATGTGTTCATCGAAATATCCTTTTGTTGTTCATATAATATATGAGAAACGTAAGGATTGTAATTCAAGTGACTTTGATTGTTTCGTAATAAATTGAATTTCAGGTTTTTTTTTCACTTAAGATTTATACATTTAAATCATTTATTAATTTCATGTTATTGTAAAAGGTATATTATGACCATTCTGTGTTAAAACGTAATAGCTCTCAAATGAGCGAACCGATTTCGACGAAGTTTTTTCATATGAAAGCCAGTTTATTTGCGTTGATTTTTAACTATACTTGGTTAATATCGATACATAATTACAGCATCATCTAATTTTAAAAATGATCAAAATATTTGAGGCCTAGTATAACTTCAATAACTATTTCGCTCCTACCATTGTAGTAGTTAGCCTTTTAAAGCGTAGGATTTTTTATTTATAAAATTTCGTTTCTTTTTTTATTATATTGAAAATAATATCAATCATATAGCATTATTTCTCGAATGTTTTCAAACTATTCTAGAAGACTGTATACGTTTTTCTGAGATTCCTCCCTTCAAATGACATGACTTTTAGAAATCCTCAATAAAATTTCATAGAATGGCACATAGCATTTATGAAAAGGTTTAAATTCCGAAAGGGTTAAGAATTTCTGAATATAACAAAAACTATTTTAGAACTGGTTTGTGAAGACAATCTGTATTCAAACGATCACCAAGCTTCGCAAATCATATGCAAACTGCATTTCCCACGATGGTTGCTTTTAGAAGCTTTGGTCATACTGAAACAAAGACGGTAGTCCCAACGTACGAAAGGTGGAGGTGGATAAGAAATACATATAAATGATTAAAAATACAAGATTTACGATCAACAAGAAGTAATATTGAGTTTAGGTTTTTTTGTACTATATAAAATGTAATTTATTGATTTTGTTATTTTTAAATATCATATATGTATTGGGTTTTAGACTCAATTGTTTAAAGTTGACACCGTAATTTGATAATGTCATATTCTTTAACTTACATGTGCTAGGATTTTCTGATATTAGTACGAGTTTATTTAAACGATAACAGTAATCCTTTTCAAATTGTTTTTTTGGTATCCATAGAACAAGGCAACCTCGACTACGTTTAACGGTCGTTAATATCCTAAGATACTATTATAAAACAACATATCGAAACGGTAAGACTTAACATAAAACCTAGTACGAAGGCTACAGATCTACTTTGTATAGTTATTAAAAAAAATTAATTAATCATTGAGAACAGTTTGTCAGCTCATCGAAATTACTCAGACCTCCATACTATGACTTCCTATCAACTTCGTTTAATAAAAACAACATGTATTTCAATATCTCAGTCCTAGTATCCTCACCAATACGATCTCCCGGTCAGAGCCGTGCGTTGCGGGCGTGACACCGCTCTCCCAGGTTCGATTCCCGGCGGGCACCATTAATGCCAATAACCATCAGACAGTAGCCGCTCGGACTCGCTAATTTTCTCTAATTTTCTTATCAAAACCGCAACCATTGTTTATCTCAATAAGGATAACTGTTTTCCGTATCGTGAGAACATCGATTTCGTTATGTAATTATCGATTTTCGGTTCGTTCGGTTCAAGGTTTTATTTTGGTGGCGTGTGTATAGCTTTTGGTGTAATACGACCTTGCGATAATCCGCTAAATTGAGCTTGAAGGAAACACTAACTGATGGTTAAACGAGCGAGTTAGAAAGGCATAGTTATTATTTAATAGCTTCGGTGAGTTTGGTTTGAGAATAAAAGCTTTTTAAATTTATTATGTTTATCAACTGTAGAACTACGCAACTGTTTTATTTTCTTTTCACTAGGGTTTCTTATTCCATTACAAGCAGAATGTGAATACACTTAACGTACTTATAACATCTTTGTAAAGTTATATCGAAATATTAGATAGATAAAGAAATGACAACGTTTGTAATGCGAAAAAAATAAAACGATTAAAGTAAGGGTTGGGGTGAAAAGGAAATATATGAGCCTTTAATTTTACTCATTATAAAAACAAATATTTGTCCTCTGACCAGATATAAGCATTTGATTGATTTTGGCTGCTAAAACGAAACTATTGAAAAGTTATTTGCTTTCATACCTAAATCAACCCCTGTATTTTAATACATACTATGTAGGTATATAATGTACATTTGATATCTATAACCTTTGAATACTCTTGTGATATTAAATCCCAGTTGCTCTAACAAACCGTGAATAAATTAATCTCCACAGCTGAGGGCTGTCAACGTCTGTCAGACCTTGCCTTCACAATTTACTTATATTTATATTTTGATATTAATTCGAACCATTGAGAATACAAGTATGACGGAATTTTCGTTCTACGATCGACAATCTTAAAAAAATACGTTCTTTTTTTATATTTAATTAATACCTAATTTGATTATAAATTATTGAATAAAATGTTTATTTATTAATATGTAAAACAACATTATTTCTCAAGAACACAGACTGTACGTCGATCGCCCTGATAAGTTCTAATGCTGGTATAAACTTTGCCCTTTTAATATATCGTGTCGAACTATTGGGTATCATCGGTAAATTACAAGTGCTGTAAATGCTGTAGACAGCTGTATATTTAATAGCCACAGCTGTACGTCACAGGTGTAATTTATCTCTTCCAATAGTTACTAAAGAAACCGAACGAAATACTCATAGGTCTTACGCATTTAATATGTTGGATATTCTTGGAAGGATTACTTGGAAATGCTACTTGCTAGTTATGTTTAACACTATTTTTTTTTAATACAATAATGCGAAACTATCTTTATATACTGGTAAAAGATTTTTTGGTACTTTCATAATAAGTGAATAAAATATTTTGGTCATAGCCTAGTTTTTGACTATCACAATTTAAAGAACTGAAGTTTAAAAATCAAGCCATAAATATAAGTAACAGAAATAGATATATTAATACATCTGGTATTTCTTTAATAAATCCAGAATAACTTTTTAAGATAGTAAAGATTCCCAACAAAAAAATATAAATATAGGACCTAAAATGAAACTTATATTTTCGCATTACAACGCGTTATTTTTAATACGCTTTATTAAAAAAATTCGACTTTTCAGTTACATTGCTGCAACGAAAACGTTGAGAATAGTTTTAAACAACAAAATAACACGTAATAATCCGAAAATATTAGTTTAATTTAAATGAATTTTCACTAAAGTCATACACTCAATATATAAGCTATTCAAATGTACCTACCTTGTTGAAAATAGTTGGATTTCCTGACGTAGACGCAGACCAGCGCCATAAGTTGGAGCTGGGAGAGCCTCTGTCGTGTGGAGGGAGGCAGGGGCAGGAGATCCCGAAGGTTGGCGATCTCTGCATTGATCAGGTCGCGTCGAAGCTTGCTCGCGCCTTTCGTGGATTTGCCTTGGTCGAACCTGTGAGAAAAGTAATGTATCTTACTCGTATTATATATTTTTGAACGTGTTAGGATACTGTTATATATTTGTATTTAAATATATACCTAAATTAAAATTTAATATTGTTGTATAAATATATAACAGTATTCTAACAAACGCTTTTTAACATAATAAGTTCTATGCCAGATCTGTTAAAACATTGTGAAGGACGCAATTCATTTTAAGCAATACTCATATTAAGAATCAGTTGTATAAATGTTTACACCCAGTTTCACCAATCAATGTTTGTTTAGTCTAATCACAGCATTTACTAACCAACCTTCAAAATTATAAATGTTTGTTAAAATATTTACGTCACACGATGACAAATTAACAACGCATTATTAAACGTCATGAACAAATGACCGACTACCAAATTATTCGTTCTTGTTATAAGACGACCAAGTGGAAACTGTAGCGTTTAATACGGCACGTTTGCCACGATGCACCACTTTATACTTTGATTGTATATATCCCTCGATACGTCACTTGTAAGCTAATGCGACCAAATTTTATATATCATTGGTTGCATACATTTAGCACACAAAAAGCTCTCTTTTCAATTTACTAGGTGTAACTTGTCAAAATCGTGTTGTCAATAAATTGTGTTATAAATATAGACATAAATTGTGTTCAAATTATAAGAAATAAAAAGAAAACTTAATTTTCAATGTCATAGAAAAGCTGGAGGCAAAATCATCATACTAAATGAAATTTTAATTCACTTTATTAATAATAACAAGGAAATAGTCGCAACTGACAAAACAGCTGACGTTACTATGGTTACAAGAAATCAGGGCTGTGATTGGACAATTGAGTTTTGACAACGCTATTAAAATTGGGTTAGTCATTTGGCCGACCGCTAGAGCAGGAATTAGTGGCTGGTTAAGACATTTAAACGGACATTTCTGCGTGGTGGGGCGCTCGATACATCTAACAGAGCATCAAACGCCTTAACCCGATGTTACTTATTTAACAATAAAAATAGGTCTTAGTCTATTACAAAAATACAGATAGAAATGAAATCGGATATACATACCTATAAGAAAAATAATAAATCAGTTTTTTTCTCAGTTAAAATTTCGAAATGATAGTATAAGTATGATTTTTTATCTAAAAACTTTATTCCATAACAAGAAATAAAAGGCTCTTTGTAAATTCAATTTGTATGTAAAAATATTATTTATAATTAGTGAATATCAAATTCGTTAATTTCATACATTTTAATTGATATAGATATAGGTGAACAGAATACTTTTTAAACCGATTATTTGTATTTATACAGCCATTAAGTCGTTACGAACCGGCACAAGCACATCACTACGATTGCCGCTGTCAGATGTATTTCATTTTTACCGATTCAATACCGGTTCCTATAAAAGTGTTAACTTCATAATGACGTGTGTTTACTAAAATAGTATTGCTTCAACCAATTGGAATGCGGTTAATTAAGTTTGCAAATTGTTGCCGTACCATTGAACTGCATCTAAAATTCACGTTGTAAAGATAATAGATATTTAAAGCTGTTTGATATTGAAATTTATATTAAAATTCTTTATATTTTAAGGATCTTATTTAACATGTTACAGACTCAATATTATAATAATCTGTCAAAACCAAAATTTTAAATAGATCTTAGATTTTACGATGAAAATTTCCATTTCGTCTGTCCGTGATCACATTTCTAGATACAAATTGAACGAAAAGTCCTGAATATGTAGTTTAAAAAATAAAAAAAAAACGCGTAGTGTATCTGAAAATCTTAGTTTTGTTTAAATGAATAGTTTTTCAAATAATTCTCAATAGCTTCTGGTTTAGAAAATCTTCAGCAGCACTTTCATATATATGTATATAAAAATCTATGATATGTACCTAAAATAAAATTAAATATAACAAAACTGTCAACACCATAAAAGAACATTAAAAAATATATAACGTCTCTCTATATAGTAAAATTTTATAGCACGTCAACTAGACGTTACTTAATTAATTAACATAAATTACTAAACATTAATTATAGCTATAAAAAGATGCGAAATATTAATGGTATATAAAACTTAATTTTAACTTAACGGTAATAATATTAGAATGAATGTCGAAAAATTTTAAACATTCAATTTGTGGGTTATTTTAAATAAAATCGATGGTATATCGATTATATTTATCGATACAAAAATTCGTTACGGCTTGTATCAAAGATTTCGACAGTTTTATCATTTACGATCAGATTTATTTAATATTTATATTGTTTTTGATGTGAAACCATTATATCATTTCGACGTTTTTATGACGTTCAGCTGATAAGTTGTGTAATAATATTTGAAATATGTTTTTATTAATGAATATTTATATATATTTTTGTTCAATATTTAAGTTTATTTAGATATGTAGTGTTTTATTTATACTGTTGAATGATTAACTAGTTTCTAATAGAATTTGGTTGTAAATAAATAGTACATATAAATAATAATAATATGTTATTCATTGTAATTGTTAAGTCTTTTGTTTTTAAAAGATTAATTCAAGTTAATTCCTCTTAAGATTACCATTAAAAATGGAATAAAATTGATGGTGTTAAACGATTACATGACAACTGTGCCGTAAATGTGTCCAAGATAAGGCAAAAGGGAAGGAATAAAATCTTTAAGTCTGTTAATATAAGTATAAGAGAACCTGAATGAGTTTTTGTCATTAAAACACTTTTGAAAAATCATAGGCCAACACCCTTTACAGATAAAATATTACTAGGCCGTAGAAATCAAAAATATTAAAAATTATTTACAAATTAAAGGTAAAATTCTATGTACTTCTACTACACTACAGTACCATAAAATATATGTACATAGTTGATATATTTAAATTTTTACATATGTCTAACAACATGTTTAAGCTCCAATATATCATGTAGAACACGTAATTTCAAATAAATGTTCTTTAATTATTTGCCGAACAAAATCCTTCAATATAGTTGTATTTAAAATTTATTTAATAAATTATGGTAAAGGCAAAATATATTAAACGATGAATCGGAGGTCATGGTGTAATTGCTTGTAATAATTGCAATCAATTAATTATTACTGTTATAATATGTTGTATTCAAACTCATAATAAATTTATAAAGACTATTTAATTGAATTAAAAATATAAATATCATTTAAATATATACTTATAAGAGGTACGAAGTCTCAAAGTCTAGTAAAAAATAAATATTTCTTTTTCAAGAATCAATAACTCATTGGTCAGAATTTTTTTTAGTTCTGGAAATGTCATTTCAGTAATCAATAAAATGTAAATATTGTCTAATTGCTTCTTTATTTTATGTCAAATTGCACAAATGAAATCATGTACATTCGATTGCGTTCTGTTTCATTAGAACGATTGTAATAACTATAAATTATTACAACTGAATCAAATGATTTCGTATAACAAATATTAAAATTAACCTTCGCTATTGATTGAAGTTGAAATAACGTGAAATAGCAATTGTTTTAAGGTCAATGTATATAAAATTGTTTTATATGTATTGATTGAGTCGTACATTTAATAAAATGTACCAAGGACATACGTAAAAATTACGTATGATTGTAGGTAAGTATTTTACGTGTGGAACTGAAATAAAATAACGATGTTTATTTTTGGTTTAGTCTGAGTTATTTTTCAGTCACACATAAATATAACTATGATTTGAGTTTTAATATAGCAATAGTTTTATCCATATTAAGGTAAGTAAAAGTTCAGCAATATTTTTCTTTCCCGCGACATAAAGTAATTACTATTTACAATTAATTTTTTATAAATGTATCGCTATTACTTTGTCAAATATATATAAATAATGTTTTTCATTTAAATTTATTACACGTAGTCTGTTTGTTCTTAAGTGAATTTAAACAAACATGACAAGTGAAGGTAAGCTTTGAAAATTATGATTAATGCTTTAAGTCCAGGATACCACTTAGAGTATAATTTTTGTAAATTGTGCGCACAAGACAAGAGTTATGTATATTCATTATTTATTTTATGTTTTTGTTGATTTATTATGAAATTAAGTGGTAAGTGACTACAATGCAGTTATTTCATTAAAAAAAATAAGAATATTATTTATTAAATTATAATATCCTTCCGTATTGATGCATTTCCAAAGAGGGTTGATGTCAGGCAGGCCGGTCGTAAAAAAAAAACAATTAGCCAAAACTATTTACAAACATCTTCTGTGGAAGTGAAGAACATGTTGTGCCGACCCTACATAAAGTGGGATCAGGGTAGGAAAAAAAAACATCCTTCCGTATTGGTAATCACATGTAAAAAAAAGAGATTTAAAGATAATAACTGGATGCTTGTCATTTGTTTCGTCTTAGTTACATTCTTTAAAAAAATTAACAACGGCTTTTGAAGTATCTCAATCTTGTATTATTTTCTATAGATGCTAAATTTTTAAAATCTTTGTAGATTACTCATTTTAGATTGTTTGCCGTAGATTATTCTGAGAGAACCCAATTGTACTATGATGAAAAGATATTAAAAAAAGACTGAAATTAAAAAAAAAAACAACAAAATATATTATACATAAGCACAAGCTTTAAGTTAAATATCTAACGTTGAAAATATCTTCTTAGTATTTTTCGTGTTACGTAAATTCAAAACAATGAAACAACAATATAAAAGTAATCTGCGTCATAACTAGAGATCAACTAATATTACAGGTTGTATACATATTAAATAATTCCAGACATACCGACATAATGGTCGTTTTTGCGCTCATAATTCCCACGGAGAGAAAAAGCCAATACGGGATCAATCAGTATAAAGAGCCGCATGCGTACTGCAATCCCTTATTAGCTAATAAAATTGTGCACGCGATCTCTTGCATATTTGAAATTGTTTTTTTATTTTATTTCTGACTAGGATTTTAGCATAAAAAATCGTTCTATTATTAAAATTAGGTCTTATAAATTCAAATAGTGTTGGAATATTTGATGTTC